CTCACCTTTTTTTTTTTTTTTTTCTCTTCATAGTTTCAAACTTATACAACAACAGAACAATCTTTATTACTAGAATGGAACAGCAATTTCGCAAGAAACTGCATACCAAACATGCTTCTTCTTTTTTTTCTTGAGGGCAAAAACATGCATTAATTTTATCTCTATTACTTCTAAATTTCTCCAATTTTCTTCAATTTTGCCTTCGCTCTACCTTTTAACCAACATAACAGAAACTAAAAATCCTTGATGAAAAGTTTCAAGTTCGAGTCCCTGGTTCAAATATCAAAATATTAAATTAAATGAAAAAAAAAAGAAAAAAGAAAAAGTAATACTGCAAGGAAATCAAACATTCACATTCAAGAGCCTTTGAAACTAAAAATATCAAAAATTCCAAAAACCATTAATTGATGAATGAATATCAGTAAAACTGATTTCGCGAGTGTCCCAATACAAACAACACAAAATTCCTATTTAGGAAGGGGGTGTTGTTAGCACCGGAGACGATATCTGTACAGACCCTAAACCTACAGTCCTGTACATTCAGAATGAGTGCGAGCTAAATTTCCAAAGAACTCCAAGGATTTTGTCATTCACAACAAAATGATTGCTGCATGGGAAGTCGCAGAAGCTGATAGTGTCCAGGGTAACTGCATCCAGTGCCCTCTGGATTCTTCATAAGGATTATCACCTCATAAGCTTCATTGTCATCAGGGATTCAGGCAAGCTTAACACGACTCTTTCCATGAAGATCCAGTACAAGATCCCGCAGCTCTGGGAAAACTGACATGAGTAGCAGTTCCAATATTGCGAACGCAAGTTGTTTCACACAGACGGTAGACTGCAACAGGTAATAACTCCATAGATAAAAGTCAGTTGTCCCAAAAAAACAGAAGGGCAAAAACAAAATAAACGAGAAAATTGAAAAAGAAATGTCGCTATGCAGCCTAAGCTTAATGGAGATAAATGAGAGTTTCAACCTGAGTGAAATAGTAAATATCTCTTGCACATCGCTTGTATTGCTTAGTCCCAATCAAACTAACTAAGGCTGTTGGAGCTCCATCTGACATAGAGATAGGAAATTATAATCAGAAAGATGCGGATTTATGGACTAAGGAAACCATCTGAAGCAATGACCATGGAGTCTTGGAAGAAAGTCAAACATGGATCAAAGTCAAGGCAAATATTCCCAGAGATATCTAAAAAGAAGACAAGAAATTAGCAAGAAAACCTGTACTGACCAAAAAGCATCTTTTTGATGTCACTGGCTCTACGAGCAGCCTCAAGTTGTTCCTCAAATGATCCTGACTTACAGACCTTACTGCTACCAAATTGGCCCATCATCTGAAAACCAGTCTGATTTTCTGTATTTCCTACTTTTGTGAAGAATATGCCTCCTGGCCAGAGAACCTAAAGAGCAACAACGTAGTAAAAAACAAAGACAATTAGAACAAAAGAATTTTCTTTTCCTTCTATAATCTAATCATTCAAAAAAGGGAACAAGTGGAGAACTTCAAGAAAAAGTTCACATCAAGAAATAATGACATAACTCAGAATTTGTGGGGATCATGATAACTGTAAGAATTATATTCGTCTAACAGGTGGAGATAAAATTAGTCCCTTCATATGCAAGTGAATGATGGTAAAAAAAAAAAAAAGCATGGTGAATGAATGAAAAGAAACATTTAAGCAATGGAATTCTGTTTGCCAGAGATCTATATTTGTGTAAAAGCCACAGCATCAGAGCTCTGCATCAGAAATTGAACCTACTTGTCAAGACTGCAGCCTCGTCATTTGACAATGTATTAACATCTATGCAGGGAAATTCTTCATAAAGGAAAAAACACAAATGGTGCTACTTTCACATTATAAAAAGGGCCCTTTAATGATTAAAACTTCTAAAAACCCATGTGGTTTCAGACAACTGAGTAGGCAAGGTAAGGAGTAACACTTAATGATAGTTATGATGTTTCTGATTTGCTCAGTCCTTACATCTTGAATCCACCGAATCCCTTGGGCAACAGTCTCCTCTTTCCGGAGCCAATAGATCTGCCCCAAGAGAAAATCATCAATAGCATCTTCCATCACCAAGTGTAATATCTGCTTTGATATCCAAAAGACCTGCCTTCTGCATCAATGATAAGAAACCCAGGTTTAAAACAAGAATTATGCAAAATTTGGCATAATAGTACATAACAGAATTTACTTTAATAGTTTAATATAATCACAACAGTCCCAAAGACCAGACAGTTGCATATAGGTTACAAGGATCACAGGGAAAGGCTTCAAACTTTAATAGACTGTGCAGACAACCATACACTGAACTTTAAAGATAAAAAGCCAAATGTCACAAAGCACATGCTAACCATGCAATTTCCCTCAAATTCAACCTCATAAAGGACAGTATAGCAACAATTGGGTCAACCTCGGTTGCCACTTATGAATTAACTGACAGACACTGAAATAAGATAATAATTAGCTTACCTCAGCCAGCCTCTTCTCTTAAGTTGAAACACCTTATCAACTAGATTCAGTAAAGGTACACTAACATTAGAAGGTGTCCACTGCAAAAAAGAGTCAATGGTAAACATCCCTAACATTTCCATAGGCAATGATAAAATCTGCATGCAAAAGGTAAGAAATATATGCAATGAATCTATGGAACTAAAAATCCATGATCATGGTATAACAGTTTTTTCCTTTTGGTAATGATCATGGTACAACAGTTGGGAACATTTAGTGAGGACATCTTTATAAATCAATCCCAAATTTTATTGATGAAGTAGCAGAAAAAAAAAAAAAACACTAATTATTCTTTGGAATCAAACCAACATACCAAAAGTATATAGCTTCATTTTTGTGGATGAGGGTATAGTACTTATAAGCCACCTATGACCGGTTATCTTTCTGTAAATACCCCACGGGGATTGGATCAATATATTTTACTTATCCTTTTACCAAAACATACAAAAGTGTATTAGGACAGATTAATAACAAAGCAATAAAATCTAATGTCTAATATGAAAAAGAAAGGTTCTGAACTGAATGCAAGATACCTCAGGTGGCATTCCAACTGGATCTTCAAAATGGTTGGCGGTTGAAGATGATTTTGCTGACATAGATTCACCATGGCCAATCCATCTGGCCTGCAAATCTGAATCTAGTTTCTCAGATACAAAGTTTCCAGAATCTCCACCACGCTTGATCACCCTACGTGGAAAACTCCTTGAGTTTAACTCGTTGTCTGAATGCCAACCACTAGCCTGTGCATTAGATCTGTCTTCATCATGACCATGGCTTCCATCCTTTTCACCTTCATTATCAGAAGTGCTGTCCAGTATAGCCAGGTTATTTTGCTTTGAAACAGCTTTATGTATCTCATCCGAATTCCACAACAAGTTCCTGCTGTTGATGGAAGAGGAGGCTTCACTGCAGGGAGGACCCACAACTTTACGCATGAAGCCATCTGAGACTCCTTTAAATTGGCGTACAATATCATCCACAGCATCATCAACATTCACTATCCATAAATACAAGGGAAGAAATATAAGTAACAGTTCACAAATTATACACATCTTTCCGTATAACATGCCAGACCAGCCAAATTAATCTAAAATCAGAAAGCCTGGTATTGAAATCAAGACAACAATAAAACAAGACATAAACTTATGGTTTTTAGAAATTAGAAATAGGTCATATAGGACTCAATCAAATGAAGCACACCAGAATGGAAAACCAAATCTATGGTGCAGCTAAATATCATCTATAACTATAAGTTATAACAAGAGTGATCCATGCACTCCATTCCTGAACCTATAGGACTCCATCAAAGCAATTTGAAATTAAAAATAAAAGGAAGTAGAAAAAAAAGGGGAGAAAAAAGAAAAAAGAAAGGAAAGAGCAGCTGCAAATAATCTGATGCTGAGCAGCCATAAAGCTAAAACAAAATGTATAGACAGCAAGGATAAAATAAAAACCAGGAACAAAAACAACATACCTGCAAGTGTTCTCATTACTGATGAAGATTTTCCAAAAGAGTAATTCTTCAATAAAAAAAGGCAATCAATAGAAAGTTCAGATGTCATTCAGCCAACCAGATATAGAATAAAGTAAAACAAACTAATAAAGTGGGCCAAAAAGACAAGTTATGATGATGTTAAAAAATTGTGTACCTTCGAGGAAGAACTTAAAAAATCCCACACTTCATGCTGCTCAGCAACATTAGCTATAGACAATAGATCCTGCAAAAAGGTAGCATACCTGAGTAGCAGGCAAGGAAAAATAATACTACTAAAAATACAAAATAGGGACTTATATGTACTCGCAGATATTTGTCAAGCTGAATGCAACGTTGATGGACAAAAGCATCCTCAGTGCTTGATGAGAATATCCTTTTGGGAGGTAACTGTAATGTATAATTTGGAATGTCTTTAAGATGTCGATGCAAGCGTTCAAAGTTCCTGTATCTGTAGTGACAATGAAAGAGAAAAAATTAGTCCAGAATGAAATGAATTTACTTTAACCCATGGCAATCTAAAAATCTTCAATAGCTCTCTGATGGTCCATTGCATAGAAAATGAAAATTATGTGGCTTAAGTTTACTGAGAAATGCCAGAAAAATATTCAAATCTGTTAATGGACCTAAAGGAAATGACTTAATATTCATGTTATTCAAAGGAATGTGACAGTTAGACCTTCTCTTAACAAACCAGGTTCCGTTTTCAGTATCTGTCACTGCAATCGAATAAACTGCAAATGATTTTGATCCAAGTTTCTCAAAGTATGCTCCCATAACCTGCAGATAGCAGAAAGGAACAGAGGAGTGTTCTTAATCTACATCCTATGTTACAAATTGATTCAGCTGGAAGTTCTTGAATGCTCACCCGACACCTGAGCTTGTGAACATGTTGCAACTCACTGCAGAGTACAATACTTGAGGCATTCTTACCCTTATATTCCTGACTATGCCTTTCAAAATCAGGGCTATAAAACTCTGAAATAATTGGGCCTCCACCATCTCCCATAAAATCATTCTTTATATCAAGTTCATCTTTCAAAGCAGAGGTGCTATTAGATCTCTTAAGCCTAATTTTATTTCCATCAGCAGCTTGCTTACCACTATCATCTAATTCATTAACAAGACCATGCCCATCAAATGAACATGATTTGTTAAATTCCTCAGATAACTCTGGGCCCTTTGCATTCTCATTACTTAACTGAGCATCAAGACTAAATTGAGTTCTTAGCCACGCCACACTTTTCTCTTCCATTCCAGTAGAAATACAAGTCCTGTTGTTAGACACTTCCTTCCCTAAATTCGCAGACGGAACAGCACTCTTTACAGTGGAACCTTTTGAAATAGGTTTGTGCACTCCAGCTTTTACATTTTTGTTCTCTTTCTTCTTATAGTTTCTTCCCTTTGTCCACATGTTTTCAAGGTTTTCAGGAGCAAGAACTTCAGTTCTTCTTTGGGTAGCTGCCTCCAACATTCGAGCCCAATCAGCAGGCTGTGGCTGCATTGGTTCTTCTTCATACATGTTATAGTCTGAATATGTTTCTCTCTGATCATCAATTTTAGGCAGAGTCGTAGCAGTTCCTTGATTACTTGAGGACGAAAATTTGTTTGTGTTTGAATCACCACCTTGCAGCCCCCCAAAAGACCAATCCTGACCTCCACCTTTGGTGATGTTCTCTTTAATGACAAGTAAGACTAATTCAATCAACTCATTGGTATACCTGGCAAGAGGCTACAAAATTTAAATGAAGGGGCTAGAAATTCCAGATAAAGGAAGACAGGACCTAATATTTGAATAACATTTTAGGGTATTCAATGGCAAAGAACTAGGTATTCTATTACAAGACATAAACCAAAATTTTATATGACATACATTCAATTTATACTTCAGCTAAAAATTGATCAGTTCACAAATGTTAAAGCAGTCCAGCCTGGATTAGCAATAGGTCAAAATGGATGGAAACTTGTCAAAGTTCAAAACATGAGAAACCTGAAAAAAAGAAGAGGTGGTGGTGCCAGAAAGAGAGAACTGTCTAACAGTCTGACCAAGGAACTCAGTTCCCTAAAGGATAACAAGGCTCAATGAGATGATTAGGCATAGAGAGATTAGCCATATACGCAATAAACTTCCAAAAGTACCATACAGAGAAAAACTCAATGGTATAAAAATTATTTTTTGAGGGAAACAGGGGGAAGAAATAGGAAAACTAGCAGTGGCCTATTTACCATTACTGGCTCAAACCATTACTTGACCTTGAAATGTTTTTTACTCCAAAAATACTAAGGAGTATAATTGAAAGTTCGTCACAAAGCTGATTCCTTAGAAAGATTGAATAATAATTATAAACATGTTAAAGGTTATTTTAAAACATTATCCATTAAGATTTTGTGTTCCATTTGTCCAATATTCAGTTAAGAGGAAACCACTCTGAGCGCCAAAAGCACTAAACATAAATTCATTTCCTCAATAACAAATTAAACATCTTAGGCTGTCTCAAGTAACAGAAATTACAATTATTGAAGAACAAGTAGTCATTAAATTGTTATCTTAACCATCAATCAAAACAACAAATGAATCATTCAGGAACTTACCCAGGGCTTGCCAAATTCAAAATAGGTTGCAACACCAAGCAAGTTACAATCTCTCGTGCGATCGTTCGAACCAAAGGACATTGAGCTTCTCGTGGCCTCAGTACTATAGCTAAAACTCCACCAATAAGCCTTTGAAGAAACTGAAAAGTATAAAGATTTATGAAAAGAAAAAGCATAAAATTCAAAAACAAAATGATTTTCATCAGGAAAACTTCCCTCACACCTTGTACTCACTCTCAGGGGATATGAGTGCAGGATGAAGCCCTTCAGAAACCATAAGATGGTGTTTTAGCCTTTCATCCCTCTCCTCTGAAGACAATGTTCCCATAACATCCACTCCTATAGCAGTTTGGTTTCTTCTAAAAAGTTCTAAATGATCTCCTATTAGAACAATTATATCCCTGAAACATTAGACAGACACCTAAAGCTGATGTTTTAAGAAACCAACCATTTTCATAATTTTTAAAGCTTCTTAATGACTCACAAAACCTTTAGAAAGAAAGAGAATACCTGGTTAGCAAATCAACAAGGTTTATCTCCTTCACTCTCCCTGATATTTCACCAATGGCATCCATGATAACCGCACGAATTAGCTCAGGGGCCTCCCTATCTGGTGTAATCTCTTTATACCACAGATCAATGACAAAATCGTTAAGTATCTTATCAATAAACTCATTCAACTCAGCCTCCACTATCGGAGAATCAATTTTCCTCTTCCACTTTGGAAGAGGTGGTGCACTATACAGCCGTGAATCATTCACAGACAATTGTTTCTTCTCCAAATGAGACAAGTAAGTTTGTCTGTGAACTGGTTGAACTTTCCATCTGAACTCAACCTTATTAGATAAAATCCGAAATGCAGACACAAAGAGAATTGCTATTGGCATATTCATCCACATTGACGTACTTGTATCTGCATTATACATAAAAAGAAACAGAAACACAGAGGTATATTCAAATTCCCAATAAAAACAGAAACTAGAAATTATAATCAAAATCAGGAAATTGTAGTTATGTTTGAAGCATAATTGCTGAAAAATTGGTTCTCCATATTCAGTTTTCAAAAGGCGTGCCTTGTTTCCCATGGATGAGTTTCAGTCATTAGATTAGACACAAGAAAAACAAAAACACCCATTCCAAGCAACCAGCTTGCACATGGAGACACAACGCATAAACCAACCATATGCTATATAAATTCAAGCACTAGCTACGACTAAGTTGCATTGAAGTTAGCAGACTTTTACAAGGTTCCTCATTCTAGACAACAAGCTTCTATCTCCTGATCCATGGCATCCATCCATTTCAATTTAGGAAAAGACATTATACAACATCAGAGAAATATAAAAACCTAACTCGAGCAATCAACGAGAACACTTCCAATCCTAAATCAATCATTTGTAGATTCAGGTCTCCAGAGCAGGAAATCTCCAGTCAAAACGAAATCGAAAATTTCAATAAAAAGGATAGTAAGGAACAAGAAATTGATGAAGAATCAAACAAACAAACAAACACTACGATTGAAATGAATCGAATGATCAACTTACGAGACAAGATGTAAGTGACCGTAAAGATAACCAACGCCCACCACACCATCCGGAGTTTGGCTTCCTCGATCAGATCCTGTATCGTCTCCATGGCCTTCATTTTTCCAGAATTCTCCTTTACTCCTTCGAATTCACGACTCCGAAACAGAGAAATCAATTCAAATCAATTCACGACGGAATAGGATTCTTCGATTCCAAACACTTTAACGGAATACAGAACAATTCAGCTCTTTATCTAGTAATCGACACTCTTTATCTCGTAATCGCCAGCTATTTTGATCTTTGATTTACAGAGAAAGAAAAAGAAGAGAGGATGCGAGAAAATAGTCTGCAATTTGCATTGTTTTACGTTTGTTTTTTTCTTTTCTTTTTTCTTTTTTCTTTTTACAAGGTGAAAAATAAAGAAAGAAAAAAAAAAGAAAAAAAAGAAAATCAATTATGCTAAAGTTTTGGAACTTCCAGGTATAGTGTTTCTTCACATTTCTTCGGAAAAAAAAAAAAAAAAGAGTAAAAAAAACTTTATTTTTTCTTTTGAACCTTCAGAAAAAGTAAAAAAGAAAAAGAAAAAGCAAAAGTTTGAGAAACACGGTAGAAAATTAAGGTCCACATAAATGACAAGGACTTTGGATGCAAATTCTGGTTGCACGTACATTAATGCTTTCACGAATTAATTATTTATTTCTAAATTTGAAATGATGGAGCTCGAGGTTAAGGGGGCATGAAGGACAGTCCCAGACATGACAACCAATAATGGACAAGCAGTAGCACTTATGCTTCAAAAACAATAATTAAAGGGAAAAAATAACTATAACGCTTCAATACTCCACTGTTTGCTGATTTGGCACTACACCCCTATTGATAGAAGTAAGTAGGGAAAACACCAAAAAAAAAAAATGAAGCTAGTGACTTAATAGAACATTGCCAAACAATCACCCTAAAGTTCTGATGATTTTTGGTAACAAATAATATAAAAGTCTGTCATTTTATAGTTTTATAAAATATTTTTTATGGATAAAACAACTCTAAAATTTAGTAATAATTTTTTTAATATAAATAAAAGATTTTGAGTTTGTTTTATAGAATGTGTGAGATTGACAAAAAAAAAAAAGAAAAAGAAAAAAAGAGTAGCCTCCATTCCATATAAAATCCAAAAACAAGGTATGACTCATACATGTATAAGAAATGACGGTATACATGATTTTAATAAGAAATGAATTGCCAATTTTCAAAGGAAAAAAAAAAAAAAAGGCAATAAGACATTTTATTTGATAATAAAAAAAGGAGGAAAATATCCCCAATAAAATAGTTTAATAGTTAAGAGATCAAGATTTTAAATTAAAAATTTTAAATTCGAGTCTTGGGTCGAGTAGCTAAGAATTTAAGAATATCAAATTTACCAAAAAAAAAAAAAAGGAGGAAAATACAATGGGGATTGAATTGGAATCGTTGAAAGTTTGGATCCCCATTAAACCTTTTTGAAATGATTGAGGACCAAACATACAATTTAGCTTCTAAAATTGGCAAGTCTCCTAGTTGAGTCGAGTTGGGTGAAGAGGAATTTGGGAATATCAAATGTGCCAAAAACAAAAACAAAAAAAGAAGAGGAAAATACAGTGGGGATTGAATTAGAATCCTTGAAAGTTTGGATCCCCATTGAACTTTTCTGAAACGGTTGAGGACCAAACATACAATTTAGCTTCTAAAATTGACAAGTCTCCTAGTCCGAATGCACATCTTGGCTTCCCGAAAAGCGCAAAAAGCTTAAAGAGAAGGCAAAGACTCAGCAAACCAGATGTGCCCACGTGTCACCATCACAAAAATTCAACGACCACGATTCGCCGTCATAAAAATATCCCAAACGGAAAACAATACAGCATAATAAAATATCTAAATCCTTATCCACTTCCGCTATTTAATCTTATCATCCCAATGCCAATGCCACATAATCTTCTCTTCAAGGTTTTGTCGGATTCTGTGTTGATTGTCTCTGTTTGGATGCGATGATGGAGTCGATCCTTCTCCGATCTTGTTCTTCTCCGGTACTCGTCGAGGCTAAAGATGTTCTCCGGTCGGGACGATCGCCGCCGTTGTCCAGAGTTTCCACGATTCGGTGTTCTTCGAGAAGCGATTCTAATATTCCGAAACTCAAGCCTTTCAACAGAACCTGGCTTGAGCGGGCCATTAAGGAGCCGCCGTTGATTGAGAAAACCGAGCACGAGCTTGCAGGTGTGTGAACTAGAGACTTCTTGCTTATCTCGGTTGTTGTTGTTCTGTTTTCAGATCCTTAAGTCATTTTTATAGTGATTTGTCTTCGAAGTTACAGTGAAATTTCGAATTCTGTGAGATGGTTTCTTTGGTTGTTGTTTGTTTGTTCGTTAATTTTCTGATTTTGTTTTACTGCTATTCTTGTTCAGATTATTGCACAACATTGGAGGGAGATGATTCATATAATTGCTGGAGAGCTCTATTCGAACTAGAAGATCTTGAGGTGTGTATATTGGCAGTTTCAATTTCTATCTTAGAATTAGATGAATCTTGAAACTGTTTGGTTAATGAGAAAGTGAATACTAAATAGGGAAAGAAAGGAAAGAACAGAACAGAAAATTGACTTTTATTAATTTGATCCAATTGGATTCAATTTTTTCTTGGAACTTTCATTTTGTTGGCAAACAGAAAATAAGTTTCCTTATGATATAACCTGTAATGAAATGCTGTTATCAGAAAGTGGCACCAAAACGAGATATAGAGAGGATAATTCGGGAAGCAGAAGGTGTTAAAAACTTGATGGACTGGATACCTAGAATTGCTGCAATCTACAAAAATGGGAAGGAAAATGCTTTCAGCATGGCAAAGCCAACGAACCCTCAGGGTGAAGGGAAGAAATTGTCTCACATTCCAGAATGGATGCCAAAATCCACGGAAGAACTCGATGAAGAAGAGAGAGAAAAAATGCCTGATTCGCAATATACCAGATTGCTTAGAGCTATGGGAAGAAAGACCATGCATATGCAGTATGAAGGAATATATCTCGGGGATTAGCCTTTTGTAAGGAATGAGTTCTCCTTGAGTTGTTTCATTGTAAATTATAGTAATATCATATAATGATCACATCGAGTGAAAAGTTAGTGTTAAGGGTTCCTGTTTCAAGATGTTGTATTAGAATACCAATAATTTGTTTAAATGGCATGAAACGTTTCCTTTTCCAGGTAATTTTTGGAATGTTAATTGGTTTGAATTTGATGTTTTGAAATCTTGTTTTGAGTTGCATCTGCATTTTCCTTCTATGAAACCTGTAGTCGACTTGTATTTGCAGACTAATAAGGATGTGAATCCAACTTCACTGCCAATATAGAACTGATATCTCAGCTGCCATTCTGAACTTTATGTTGATAGATGATCAGGGTTTATATGTGCAAAAATTGATTATAACGTCTGTTATTAACTTAAAAATTAAAAATGATAAGATATAAATTCATGTTTCTTTTAGCTGCTGATTAAGTTATCATGTAACACCAGCCCTATATTACCAGGAAAAAATTAACGTTGCACCAGCTCTAACTTAATTTCTTTGCTTAGGGGCATTATTTTTCATGTCCTGAGACGTGAAATGGACTGCAGTAGGGTCTATTTCTGAGTTGAAACTAATCCCAGTTTCTAAAACAAAAATGCGCTCCCCATGAGGACAAATTGGCATGAAAAATGGACCGTTCGAAGGGCATAAATCTTAGATTTCATGACTTGGTCAAAACCGTTTAGGCGTACACACCGCAACATAAGCTACACCTCTCTTCAAGTTTCCCCTCTAAAATTAGAAACACTTCCAAATCTGTCAAAACAGGGTGAACTTTCCGGTGCTAATTCCCCCATCGCCTCTCGATGGCCGTCAAGCCATCCCATATAACACCCTACCTCCCTTCATCCCTCCTATAAGCAGCCTTGGGCCTACCAAGGTGGTCAGCCATGGCTAACCCTCAAATAATTCAGGCCTTTGGCTGCTTTCTTTTCCTCTCATTTCTCTTTACTTCCCTCCCAACTTTCACCTCCGCCCTCTCCGTTGAAGAAGTAGCCTTCATCACCCGGCGCCAGCTCCTAACTCATCCCGAAAAAGATGATCTCCCTGACGATTTCGAGTATGAGATTGAAATTCGAGAGACTTTTGCCAATGAAAGGCTCAAGAGAGCCTACGTTGCTCTCCAGGCCTGGAAAAAGGCCTTCTACTCTGATCCATACAACACCACCGCCAACTGGGTTGGCGCCCATGTGTGTTCCTACAATGGTGTCTTTTGTGCACCGGCATTGGATGATCCCAACCTGAGTGTTGTGGCCGGTGTTGACCTTAACCATGCTGACATCGCCGGATACCTTCCAGTGGAGTTGGGACACATGACAGATCTTGCATTGTTCCATATAAATTCCAACAGGTTCTGTGGGGTTATCCCCAACAGCCTGTCCAAGCTTACCCTGATGCATGAGTTTGATGTCAGCAACAACAGGTTCGTCGGTTCTTTTCCGATGGTTGTCCTGTCATGGCCGGTGGTGAAGTACATCGATCTCCGATTCAATGATTTTGAAGGCGCATTACCGCCAGAAATCTTCGAGAAACATCTCGATGCATTGCTCCTGAACAATAACAGGTTCTCCTCCATAATTCCCGACACCATTGGAAAATCTACCGTCTCCGTTGTGACATTCGCCCACAACAAGTTCACTGGTTGCATCCCACATAGCATCGGAAAGATGCAAAATTTGAACGAGATTATCTTCCAGGACAACGATCTCGGCGGTTGCTTTCCGTTAGAAATCGGGTTGCTAGGCAATGCTACGGTGTTCGACGCCAGCTCTAATTCGTTCTGGGGGAGTTTACCGGAGAGCTTTTCAGGGCTGAAAAAGTTGGAATATTTGAATATTGGGAATAACAAGCTCACCGGAATGGTGTCGGCGAATCTCTGCATATTGCCAAGCTTGTCCAATTTCAGCTTCTCTTGCAATTACTTCCAGGAAGAGGCAAAAGAATGTGTTTCACCGTCGAGGAAGGAGATTGTTATTGATGATACCGAAAATTGTTTGGCTCATAGGGAGAAGCAGAAGACGGCGAAGATGTGCCAGCCAGTGGTGAGCCGACCTGTGGATTGTAACAAGGACAAATGTGCAGGTGGAGGGTACCCATCTCCTCCCAAACCCAAGGTGCCATCTCATAAGCCACCGCAACACAAACCTGAAAAGCCATCTGCACCAGCACCTGCTCCGGAAGACGATCCTCATCGTCAATCTCCAGTGGACGGAGCTGAACCGGAGCCACCAACACCGACTCCTGTCCTTTCTCCGCCACCAGTTCAGTCCCTTCCACCCCCAGTTCATTCTCCACCACCACCTGTCCACTCACCTCCACCACCCGTCCACTCTCCCCCACCACCCGTCCACCCTCCCCCACCACCAGTCCACTCACCTCCACCACCACCAGTAGTCCACTCACCTCCACCACCAACAATAGTCCACTCTCCCCCACCACCAGTCCACTCACCTCCACCACCAGTACACTCTCCACCACCACCAGTACACTCTCCGCCACCACCTGTCAACTCTCCTCCACCACCGTTACAGTCTCCACCCCCACCCGTTCACTCTCCCCCACCACCAGTACACTCCCCGCCACGACCTGTCCACTCACCTCCACCACCAGTACACTCTCCGCCACCACCCGCCCACTCTCCGCCACCACCCGTCCACTCTCCGCCACCACCCGTCCACTCTCCTCCACCACCAGTTCACTCCCCACCACCACCAGTTTATTCTCCACCTCCACCAGTTTACTCCCCGCCACCACCAGCCCAATCTAGACCTCCACCAGCACCAGTTCTTTCTCCTCCCCCTCTTGTTTCTGCACCACCACCTACAGAGGAGATTGTCCTGCCACCAAACTTGGGATTCGAGTACTCATCACCACCTCCACCAATGTTCCCAGGCTACTAAATGGTAGTAGTAAGTCATTAACATCTTTACATTACTCCAAAAACTTTAAGTTTTTGCTGTATTTTGTAATTTTCACTGACTTTACACCAAGAACTTATGTTTACACTTTCATTGTCTGTTTTCGAAAAAGAAAGAAAGAAAGAAAGAAAGAAACCTTATATTTATACTCCAAATTAATTAAATTTTAGCTTAAGTAGGAAAGTTGATTATTTCTTGTGTATTTTTTTGGCCATACATTTTTTTGGTGTATGAATCTCAATGATATATACATGACTGAATTGGATTCCTTCACTTCCTAGTGCAAAACAGAAAAAAAGGTTATAACTTTGTTTGATACATATACAATGATTCAATTAATTGTACCAATAAACCTGCATTATATAAAAAAAGGCTGTATTTTTGTTTTAATACAATTATTCAATTCAAAATATAAATAAGAAAATTTAACATGAAAAGGGCAAGAGAATAGCTAACCATGTTAAAAGCTCATCTAGAGACTTCCAAAGATCAAATATTCATATATAGGAACAAAAGCTCTCCTCCATACCAGAAGCCTTGAAGTCATCAACCATGGAGCAGACCATCAATTATGTGGTTTAATATATAATAAAATTATCTATACTTTTAACTATAAATTTAAAATTCAATCTTTAATATCAAAAAACCAAAAAAAAAAAAAAAAAAATTCAACTAGGGCGCGAATAGCATTCAGTTGAAGTAATATTCATTCAACTAGCCATTTTGTTTCTAGAATACCTTCCTAGCTATGAGGTCCAACTTTAGACCTCGGAATGGATGAGTGCATTTAACCCAAATTATAAAAATATGCACTTAACCACCGTGTAATTTAGGGTGGGTGCATTTAACCCTAAATCATAAATATGTTCACTTAACCCCAAGTATTTTTTGAGAGTTTACCTTCAATATTAATTAATATGAGGTCAAAAGCATATTTTCATTATTTTATGAATTAAATGCACATTTTCAAATAGATCAAATCCACTTTTTTGCAATTTTGATGGTCCACCCCAAACCAAACCAATTGGCTTTAAGTGCAATTTTTACTTAAAAATATTAAGCCCTAAATGTGGGGAAATTCCAGACAGCTTTCCCTTTTTACTAATTTCTCTAGTAAGTAAATGCTTTCTTAGCCTTCTTATCTCGGTTATTAACTTATTATTTATTAAGGATCTAATTGAACCATACTTAAAATGTAGAGGACAACCGATCAATTGCACCCGTTACAAAACCAGATTGTAAGGAAAATATTAGCTGAAACGACATCGTTCAGGATCCGTAACCTTCACGTTCACTCCGAATCGCAGCTTTCTGGTCTATTTTCCACCGAAAACATCCTCCACGCCATAACCTCAACCTCCACACTCAGATCTCCTTCCAAACCGGAAACCCCAATCCAGAAATCAAAGCTTTTCGCATTCAGAGAAGTTAATTTCTGCATCATTGTTTTTGGGTACTGAAGGAAATGGAGGATAACAAGAGCCCATCAACTCAGAAGGAAGATAAGGACGGAGTATCTCTGACAAAACAAGTACAAGAAGAGAAGGGAGAACCCCAGAAAGATCAGCCACCCGTAGCGGCTCCAAAGAGTGGGGGATGGGGTGGTTGGGGTTTCTCTCCTCTGTCCGTTCTCTCGGATCTTCAAAAGGCTGCTACGGTCGCAGCCGAGGAGATCTCTCGCAATGTACGCCTTTAATTTCTCTGTTTATCACTCATTATACGTGGTTGAATTTATGTATGTGGGTATTTGTAGAATTGGCTTCGGTCAATCCTGGCTAGTGTTGTTTCTTGTATTTGGGTACATGGGCATGCATGATTGTCAGATCTAGGGGGAAGAATTGGTCATTTCTTGGATACCCTTTCTGCATATAGTCAATATGATGCTTAATTTAGTGGGTTTCTTCTTGTTTGATTGAATTTTGTAGGAATTACCCTTCATTTCTTTAAGCGGAATTGTTAATGTGGTTCATATAGAAAGCTTTAGAAATTAGTCAATTAGATGCTAAAATATTAGGAAGTAGGTTTTTGGATAAAATCTTCCTTTACCTTTCCTCTACTGTGAACTTATACATATACAAACGGTATGACTTGAAAATTTGTTCTTTTCTCAACATTGAATCTATTGCAGCCGCTGATCTGCTCTAGCTTGAGCCTTCTGTGCTTGCTTTGAATGAACGGTCTTAGAATAATGAAACCATAGGAATTAGGATAGTTAGTTGGAGTTACTATCTACTTTACATAGAACGGATACTGCAATTCTGTTGGCATTCTAGCCTGCTATGAACTACTGTCAGAGGTCTTTATGCATTTTCTTTTAATAATGGAAGTATGATAGTCTTCATGTAAATTTTGTTGAAAACTGTCATTTGCATTATTCTTTACAAGGAATTCTTTTAATTGACTTGATATCACTATGCATCCCTTCCTTCTGGTATTATGATAGTGAATCTTTTTAAATTTGCTACAATAGGAATATTTTGCATAATAATTCAGAATTAAGATTTGATGTTTCCTATCCATTTTAGAGATTTCCTTCCTTTTCTTTAACCTAAGGTTACTATTATGAGGTAATCATAGTCATGAAATTATTAAAGCTATCATTTTGTTAGCTCTTTGCCCATATAAGAGGAGATCTATGACACAGAGCAGGGCCTAGGTCTTGCTTTTAATGTAAGTTGTTTTTTATTCAAATGAATGTTTCAGGTTGTTTTCATAATTTTTAAGCTGTAGTTGTGGATCACTGGATGCAGGCTTCTGTGGTTGCTGAGCAGGCGGCAAAGAAAATTGCAGATATGCAACTTGCTGAGGATCCAGAATCTTCTAAGGAGGAGGAGGAGGAAGAAGCAGAGCAACCTCAAAGTGATGATGAGGAAGACAAATTACGGAAGTCTGCTCTGGATAAGTTGGAGAAAGCAAGTGAGGATTCCATTCTTGGCCAGGCAAGTCTGATTTTTATATTTTGATGTTTGTATTCATGGGTATGACTATTAGGAATAGCTGCCATGAGCATGGATAATGGATGCCCTTTTTTGACCTGTAACATTAACATGATAAACAACTTCATGAATCTAACTTCTTGTCTCTCATTCTTTGAATTGAAACATCTCATATTTTTTGTTTGGCCACAAAGATATGATATTAAGATTGAGTCATGCACTTAAAGCATTTTACCTTCTTTTTTTCCTTCTTCTTCTTCTTCTTCTTCTTCTTCTTTCTTTCTTTCTTCTTCTTCTTCTTCTTTTTTTTTTTTTTTTTTTTTCGCTTTTTTAACTGAAGATGTACTATCTTCACTGGAAATTGATAGATGCCCTTAATGTGGTCTTCATGTTCTTGCCAGTGCATCCTACTTCTGAGTTTTTAACTTACAAATATAACTATAAATTGATACTTTACTTGCCCCTTTGTGTGAGTGAGCATCACGTCATGTTTAGTTATCAATATTTGCAGGGTTTGAAAACTTTGGATAGCTCTGTGGAGAATTTTGCTTCAGGGGCATGGCTAGCATTTGGAAATGCACTGAGAGGGGGCACCAATCTTGTTCAAAAGTATGCTTCCCTGTATTTTTAGGTGTTAGTAAACCATGTCACTTCGTAGGAGGAAACCTATAGTTCAATTTGGAAGCTTAGAGAGTTTCCATTTTCCGACTGTTATACTTTTCATGTTGGTGTCACATTTTCAAAGAGTTCTTTGCTTTTCAATCATTGATATACAATTCCTCTTATTTCCCACTGACAGATGATGATTATGCAACCTTGTTGTGCATGGAAAATTGTAACTATGAAAGTCACATAATCTTGAAACTTTTTTCTAATAGTGAGTTTTTGTCTTTCATTCTCTAGGCTTGAGCATTCTGCTGTCAACCTCGCAGAATCTATTCAGCAAGGTGGTTTACCTGCAGCTGGTTCTGTTGCACCATCCTTAATAGAGGTTTGAACCAGCCATGCCATCCTTTTTAGGAATATTGCCACTTTGTTGTGATTGTTTATTTCTCATCTTCTTGTAATAATGTCCCAGACGGGAAAAGCTTTTACAACGAAAGGAATGCAAGTACTTGAATATGTGGGAAAGGAAACCATGGACTTGTTGATCAGTGAGACTGGGATAGAAGTTGAAAAGAATCCTAAAGAAAGTGACCATTCAACCAATGAGGATCAGCTGTATGAGGAAATCACATTTGATGGATGCTTCTATATATATGGAGGTCCACAGCAGTTAGAGGTTACCTTCTTATCCTTGATGTTGAAATCTGATTATTGAATTATTAATATCTTGGTAATTGTTGGGTTTCAATATTGTCAGGAATTGGAGGCACTATCTAACCATTATGCCATGTTATATAATCGAAGAAAAGTGAAATTACCTCCAGAGCAGAAATCTATATATGAGGGAAAGCTTAAACAAGTCCAGCAGATTTTTAGTTTGAGTACTGAAATGGATGGAAGTGGTGCAGAATCAGGAAAAGGAAAGAAAATAGAGACTGGCACGGAAGGGGGTGAGGATGAGATGAAAAGTTTGCATGATTCAAGTGTCAGTAAAGCTGCTGATATGGCTGCAGGGTAATTTTCTTACTATTTGCTAGTTTGTATTTTTGAATAACTTATACATGTCTTGAATTTGAGTTTCACTTGGGAACTCATCAAGTTGTAGTTTTCAATTCTGTGTCAAGTCACACTTTGACATCCGAATTATCATTACGGCAATTTTTTCTTTTCAAACCTTAAACTTGGTGAAGGCCTGCTTATGCACAGAAATGGATTTTCCTTACTTTCTTCAAAATACCTAAGTGGATGCTAGTGTGTGTTATATTAAATTTAATGCTGTCTGAATTCAGGGACATGCCAAAGTAGAGATATAGCTGTTCTTCTGGAGATCAACCCTCTTATACTCTGCCATTCATGCAAATGACTGCTGCCATTGCAATGTTCTTTTAAATTTTGCAGGTTCACAAGTGCATTAGCAGGACTAGCCATTAATGATATCATTCAAAGGACTACTGGAAGGCTAGAATCTCTTCACACTGAGGGAGTTCATGTACGCAGATACATATATTGATTTCTTGCTAACATTTTCAACTTTTTTGTTTTCCTTTGCAAACATAACTTTTAACCCTTTTTTTTTTTTTTTTTCTGTGATTTCGTCTATACAACTGCATTTCTATGCAGAGGCTGTCTGAAATGTGCTGCTTTGCTGCGTCTCAACTCCTGATGTTGGGTAAATCAATCAAATCTCATGCCAGCAAAGCTCAAGAAGAAGATGCTGACAAGGATATCGTGAATGTTGACTGGCCAGAGGATTCTGTTGAAAAGGCTAAGATAATCAGAATAAAGGCACAATCAATGTCAGGATATGTGGAAGCCATCTCTAGCAGCTTTATCACAGGTTGATGGTTCTACACCCCTTTTTTAATTTTGCCATGAAGATATTGATTAGTGAAGCTTATTTTTGTCACACAGTCACGTGTCCAGATTCCATGTTACCCGTTAGTTATTACTTACACTTCCTGAATGTTTTTCTCAAAAGCTGTCTGTTTGCCTTTAAAGTATCATATGTATATCTCCTGCACTATTTGAATCTGGGTAAATTATAGATGATACATGTCCCAATGACTCATCAGCATTTTCTCATCAAAGTTAATTCTGGCATTGATCAATTACTGTGTTTACTTATTGGCTTGTTTAGCCCTGGATGTTTTTCTCTAACTGTTTCTATCCTAATACTATATGCAGGCATATCCGACGTGGCTGAAGCTTATCAAGCTGCCATCAAGGGAGCCACCGCCAATTCACACGAAGTTCTTCCTCAGGCATCCATCCAGGAAAAAGCCAATGCCTTCTCCGAACATCTCCGTGGTGATAAGACCGCCGCCATTAGCAAAATCGAGGAAGGACTCCAGTACTTGTCTTACGTGGTTCTCTCAACCTCAATGCCAGCCGCTTGAAAACCCAGAAGAATGTTTCCCTCATTTTAGTTTCATTTGTAAATAAATAGTTTCACTTTGGATTTGGTTAAACCATTTGGCATTGATGAATGTGTTCCCACGAAATGGAGGGCACCTCTGTTGCGTACCCTATTGGAAACTTTGAGCATATAGGAGAGGAAAGGAAATATTTTTGGTTTCTCTTCTGTGCTTCTAGAAGCCATGAAATCATGGTTATAGAACCTTCGAAAGTTGGCCAACTAACTCCTGCCTTTGTCTTGTGTCCAAATTCAATGTACTAAATTTCTTTGCTCAATCAAATATCAAAGACCATTTCAATTTGGATTATATGAGGTTGTGGGCCTTTTGGCCTTTATTTGTCAACAACTTCTACGGTAATCTCTTTGATTTTTCAGATATAAAATCCTATCTTTCCGGATTCTGGAATTTTCTCAATTCAGTGTCTGTTTATCCTGCTGCCGCCGCCGCTGCCGCCATGGGAGATGTTGATCCAGCTTTCGTTCAACCTGCCGAGCACAGACCCAAACCCGAAACCGTCGAAGTTGAAGAAATCCCGGTAATTGATCTTTCCGATTCCGGAGAACTCTTATCGGAGATTGGAAACGCGTGCAGGAACTGGGGGTTTTTCCAGGTTATTAATCATGGGGTGCCGTCAGAACTGCGCAGAAGGGTGGAAAAGGTAGCGAAAACATTTTTCGATTTGCCGATAGAGGAGAAGAAGAAGGTACAGCGAGACGCAGAGCATCCGATGGGGTACCATGACAGGGAGCACACCAAGAACGTTAGGGATTGGAAAGAAATTTTCGATTTCTTCCTGCAAGATCCGACGGTGGTCCCAGCTTCGCATGAGCCTGATGATCGGGAATTGAGAACTCTTACAAACCAGTGGCCGGAGTACCCTCCGGAACTCAGGTGAGAAAAAACTTGATCACCTTGAAAATCTCTGGTATTTTGCTTTAAATTCTTTAATAGTCAAGTGGTAAGAGATAGGAAATCCATTCTGAAAACGTAAATTAAAATCCTTTCACCACCATTTTTGAAGGTGAAGTCTTAGTGAGTGACTCTAAACTGAGATCTTTAGATTGTGGGTTTATGAGATTAGTCGAGTCAAAAATCTAGATCACAGCATGAAAAAGAACATATACATCTTCTTGGGCTATTAGCAAAAATAATTGGTCTCATTCACCATGAACAGAAGTAATGAATTTTGGTGCTTTGGTTAATTACCCTATGATTGCTTGTTTTGGTTAGGGAGGTATGTGAGGAGTATGCTAGAGAGGTAGAAAGACTGGCTTTCAGGCTATTGGAACTCATCTCCCTGAGCTTAGGCTTGCCAGCAGATCGGCTGAATGGTTACTTCAAGGAGCAAACCAGCATTCTGAGGTTTAACTACTACCCTCCTTGCCCTTACCCTGAGCTAGCACTGGGAGTTGGCCCACACAAGGATGGTGGTGCCCTAACTGTCCTTTCTCAGGATGATGTTGGAGGATTGCAGGTGAAAAGCAAAGACGGAGAGTGGATTCCAGTGAAACCACTCCCAGATGCCCTCATCATCAATCTTGGCAACAATATGCAGGTACCCTTTTCATTCTTACTAAAGAGTCAAAGAACTGAAGAGGATAAGGGCTTGTTTGGTGATCCTTCCATTTTTTGACACTATTTATGTTTCATAAGTTAAAATTTTTCTCTTAAAAATTTACATTTTAATTTCTTTTTAATCTTAAAAAGACTTTAAATTGTGAATTTTGAAAATTTTAAAATTTTTACTTTTTATAAACTTTCATTTTACTTACTTCTTATTTATTTTTTGTTATTTTCAAAAAGCTTTACCAAATAAGCCCTAAATGTCCTAATAGAAAAGTTTTTGCCAGTCCGAACTGAAAAGGACAAAAATTTTCTTAATCCCTTGCGTTTAGGAGTATTGAAGAAAGAGCATTTTTGTCAATTTCAGTCCAAAATGCAAAAAAAGAAGATACTTAATTATCTAACCGAACCACTTTTTAAATATTAGTTTGGTACAATAAATACAATTGAGCTTCTTTTATCTTGACTTTCACGGATTTTTATACTGTAATTTTTGCAGGTTTGGACTAATGATGCATATGTGAGTGTGGATCATAGGGTTGTGGTGAACACAAAAAGGGAAAGGTTTTCTATTCCATTCTTCTTTTTCCCTGGCCACCATGCCATGATTAAGCCTTTGGAGGAGCTGGTGAACGAGCAGAACCCAGCCAATTACACAGAATTCAACTGGGGGAAGTTTTTTGTTGCTAGAAACCGGAGTGATTATAGTAAGCAAGACGTTGAAAACATTCAAATTGATCATTTTAAGAAATCTGAGTGACAATATTATAGAGTGAAACTATTGTACTTGTAATTAAGTTGCAACTTTAAAGTGTGCAATAAGGATATATGGATGGTCTGCGTTTTGATCTTCTGTACTTATAGTTCCTTTTTCTAAGTAAATACCTATGCCTAACAAATTATAAATTACCATAGAAATGAATAAAATGAAGTGCAAATTTAAGCAACTTTCTTTTTTTTATGAGAAATAGAATTTCATTAATATATCAAAACTAAAAGAGTTATAGGAGCAATTTAAATGTGATAATATGTCATAGGTATTATATTTATAAAATGTGTGAAAGTGCAAAATTAAGTAATTTAATGTTTATATGAATATTACAATCAAATTTGGACTTGAGAATTAACACTTAAGTTGTATTTTAACATAATTTATCTAGAAAGATAAATTGATTGGAGCAAAAAATTGTAGTTAGGGACCTTGTTGATGAGTTAAATATATATACATATTAATATGAAATTTATGCCTTGATATTATTGACATTTGGATGAGTTTTATGAAATTTTACTTGATTTTATATAATTTTTATTATTAATATAGGAAAGGATTTACTTGAAAGAAATCATAATTTTTAACACCAAATGACAGAGATTAGAAAGATGAGAATTAAATTGCATGGAATTTAAAAGTTAGAGACCAGAACTATCATTTTACCATTAATCGAAATTGCTTGAAAGAGTTAAAGACCAAAAACCCGACACGGAGTTTAGTCAGCGCTTTACTAAAGGTGTCGGCACATTGGTGTGGTTTCACTTCCATTCTATTTAGGTTTTCAAAACTCCTGCAAATGCCCTTCTAAGTTTAGAATTAAGGGAACTTAGAAGGCTGGTAGTAGTTTATATTTAGTACTTTTAGAGATTAAGATCGAAAAAAATTATTAACAATAAAATAGTAAATATTTTAAATTTCTTAAATTAAGTTTTGTTTTTTTAAGTTAATTTATTAGATTTATCTAATTTTGTACTTTAAATGTACAAGTTAACGATATAATAAATATATTTTTTAAATTAATTTACATTAAAAATGATAAAAATTGACATATATTTTAAAATAATTGACACATTAATAATTTTAATTGGTTAATTAATTAAATTAAAGTCAACATTTATACTTTTAATAAGAATTAATTATAAAAAGATATATTTATTGCATCCTTATCCTATGCCTTAAGATATAATATAGAAAAATCCTTACTTTTGTATACTATTTGATATTTTTATATTCATAACTATAATTTCAAGTCTTATTACTTTTATTGTGAACTAATTTAATCTATTAGGTTATGGTATAATTTAATCAATTTAATATAAATTTTATGATTTTTATATTTTCAATTAAAATTATTCACATAATAAATTTATATTATTGAATTTAATGCATTAAAAATTTAATTATCTTTCAATTGATTTAGTGGTTTATGCATTGACTTGAGAAAAAATTACGTAAATAAACTAATAATAATATAAACTATGTATCAAATTATGAAATTGAAAGATAATTAAGGCAGTCATATCATATGTGATAATGAAAGAAAAGAACAAGTTTCAGAGCTTCCCTTTTTAAACGAGGAGTTTTCATAAAATTTAATACTAAATAATCTGTTTTAAAGTGAATAAAGATATGATTAATTGAACAAATAAATAAAGAATTAACTTAATTTAAAAAAATTAGTTCATTAATTTAGGAGGATCTATCATCACATACAATAATAGTTAATAAATTAGTTTTAAAATTATATTAATCCAAAATTTATATTGATTGGTTACAGTGAAATTAATATTTTAGCACCTTATATCTTGATTATTTTTATTTTTATTGTTATTTTTTTATTATTTTTAATTGTTATTTTCCTCTTATTATTTTTAATTAAAATGTCTTCCTTTTTTATTGTCTAAATAAAACTAGATTAATTATTTTCAATATTTAGTTAACCACAATTCTTGTGAATTTGACTTTTTTTATTATTATATTATTAAAATGACTAATACACTTATTAAAGTGATTTAAGCACATAACCTATCCCCAACCACACCTTCAATAATTAAAACAAGCACAACAATTTACTTAAGTTCAACAAATATTATGTTCATATTACCATCTTTCTTTAAAAGGAGCAAATCCTTGAAAAAAAAATATCGAATCAGTCAAGGTAGAAACCTTACAAAAAAAAAAAAAAAAAAAAAAAAAAAAAAA